ATGTTCTGCTCCTGTTCTCTGCAGCTGTCCCTACGACAGGCTGTGTCACTAGAAGCTTGGACCGATTCACTGGAGAATAGTCTTATAGCTGGAAGTTCTGGTCACAGTGCTGTTCCACAGAAATAACCATTGCTGAGCATGAAGAAGTTGTCAGTGGTGAGTGGGATCTACGTGTGGGACGTTCTAGCTATGGTGTGCTGGATAAGTGCAGATGGCAGGATAGTGTTACTGAACCACTTTTCCCAAGGGCCTCTTGGGAGATAGCTGTGATCTGGATTAAGTGCTGAGGTAACGTTTGGTTGCTGTCTTCCTTGGGAGCTCTGCAGTAGAGAAAGGTGTAACTGGTACTGCTGCACGGGTGCAGGCTGCAAGTATTTGTTCAGGGTCAATTTAAATCTAGGCATTATTGTTTTGCACTAAGGGATTATAATCCATTTTGTCTCCTGTTAAATAGGAAATACTGTAAAGCATTAGAACTATGCAAAATACTTGTCAAATACATGGCAAGCAACAAAGCAAGTGGTAGATACATTTCTCCTATAAATAAGGTTTGTTAATTCCTCATAAGTGGTAATTATAGTTGGCTGTCTAACAGTAAGCTTCCCCCATATGTAGATGAGTTGTTTGTGAATCATTTAGGTCATCAAGTAACCTCTGTAGGTAAGGAAAGGTATAAAATATCTCAGGAATTTGAAGTAAGAGTAGCTTTAGTACTTAAGCTTGGTTCTTGAGTTGTGCTTCATAAATACCACAACTGTTCTGTTTTAGGGAGATTCTAGTTGGTCCATGCACGTAATGTTATTGAAAGTGGTTCATGTTAGTTAGAAATCATAAAAAAGGGTTTTAGCTGTTCTAATGGTAGAATGAAAGTAATTTGTCTAAGGAGGATAATGCATATGTGTTGGGCTGTGTTTGCATGCTGTATAATGCAGCCTCTTGTCTTGAATACCTTGTTCCAGTCTGACTACTTATGCTGCTTTTGCATAAGAGGAGACTTTTCATAGGCTTCCCCTCAGCCCTTGCCATGTTAAATAAACATTAAAAAAATACTTGTATGTATAGTACTGCAGCTTGATAGTTAACTTTGCACTTAATGGCTATTAAAGTTATATTCAGGATTTCCAGTCTTACTAGACCACCGATGTGGTGGCGTGCTCCCTTTCATCATGCAAGATATCTGACACTTCTGTGTTGTGATCTGACCTCTGGGAGTGGGGCAGGTCTTCCTCCTTTAGCAGGGGGCTATAAAAGAAATAAGAATTCATCTGTCCTGGTTTGGGCTAAACCAGAACTAATTCTGGTTTAATGCTTTTACTTTTCAGTGAAGTCTCTTCTAACTAACTGCACTTTCTGAAACAGCAGCATATTCTTCCAGACAGTGACTGCTTCTAGCGGTGGTAAGACTTGATGTTTATAGTTCGTACCAAGGAATGGGATGCAGAGAGGCCCTTGCTTATACTTGTTCTTATAGCAACCAAGGTCACTGCTAAATCTTGTACTCCGTGTTGGGGTGCCAGGAGTGAAAAGGGTTGCAGCATGTAGAAGGTCACACGTGCAGGGAGGAGCGAACTGGACAGGTGACCCAAACCTGACCAACAGATTATTCCATCCCATATATATTGTATTCAGCATAAAGCTGAGAGATCATGAGTGTCTCTCTCTTCTTTGATGGCCAACATCTGAGGAGGACTCTGTCTGTTCTTCTGTTGTCGATCCTGATCCGTGCATCCCTGAATCCAGTGCCTGAGTCCAGCTCCTGCATCCCATACCTGTCTGCTGCGAGTCCAGCCTGGGACTGCCCCAGTGCCAGCCCTGCAGTGTTGGTGGAGATGTGTCGTCATCAGGGTGGAGGCAGTTGGGTTTGGTATTGGTGTTGTATCTATTTGTATATATTTGTACATATTGTATATACTTCATTATTTCCTTATTTTTTCTTTATTGATACTGTTTCATTAAAGCTGTTTTAGTTTTCTTTTCCAAACCATAAAGTCTCTCTCCTTTTCCCTTTTGGGAGGGGAGAGGGGTTAATAGAGAGTGTCTGTCATTTGTTAGTGGCTGGCCCAGCCTCATCCCACATCATGGATATAATGGGTAAATCAGGGAACTTTATAACCTGAACTTTAAAACTCTTCGCTTGAGAGAGAGGCATGTAGGAAGTCTATAGTTAGGCTAAACAAAGTCTAGTCTATGCTTTAGGTATGTGTGATACTGTTGCTTAACAGAACTGAAGATATGTGTTTGCTGATGTGCATCTTTGAAGAGTCCTAGTAGATCTGTGCAGGGTAGCTACTGCTTAAATCACTTGTGTGTTGTCTTCAAACTGCAAACACAGGTACAATATAGTATTTAAACTATACTTATCCTAAAAATTAATTTCCAGCAGAAGGTAGTGTGAAAGTTTGTATATACTGCCTGTGCCGAAAAACATCTGAATGTGTTAGTGAATAACCCTTGCTTTTAAAATGGTCATTACATAGTTTACAAGTATCTAACTGCGTGTCTTTCTTAATAGGAGGAGAGTAAATTGAACAGACTAAGGTAGATAGAAGCACTTTTATACTTGCATAAAGTATAGTTGCATGAAAGCAAGGGACTGTGATTGTTATATGATACTTGATGGAGCATGCTTATGTGAAGTGCCAGGTGGATGCCAACTTTATTTCTATGCTGTCACTTAATAAGCGATTCTACAGTGTTGCTTAGTGAAATGTAATTACTCACATGAACAGACCAGGAAGGTGTTTATAAAAACAAAACAACAACAACAAAAAAACCCCACAAAAACAACCAAACCTAAGAATAGCACCAGCTCTGAAACAATGAATTTTAACTGCATAGAACTTACAGATGTTTTTGAAGTTGCATTATCTGAAAATAAGTATTTACTTCAAAAAAACTTAGATGATAATACTACATTATTTTGTGTTGTTTGTTTGTAGTGTAGATGTGGACTTGATTTACAACTAGATGAAAGATGTTAAATTGTTAGTTTTAATTTACCACAGAATTTTGAGATAAGAAATTAGTTTTCTGATGGTTGAGTTGCAAAAACTATCTTGAAACCTCCCTCACTAACCTTAAGAAAACTTCTTCTGCCTTCTTGTTGAGGTGTTGAACCGTGAAGCCTAATTTTAGATGCTCAGATCTGAAAAATTTGCTTAGTCGAATAGCGTTCTGTAAAACTAATTATCATATGCCAATAGGTTTGTATATGACTCTTGTTTTTAAGGTACTGTTAAGTTCATTGAATATCTGTCAGAATGCAATGAATTGTTTATTTTTATCTAAGTGTTTCAAACAGTGAGTGTCTTAAATCTGTTTTTTAATGAAACTGAGGCTAAAATATTAACGGCTTAGTGTTCTAATCGGTATCCAGCATTCAAATAAAAAGGTGGAAATTTTTTTGGCATAGCATCGGAATTGTCTTTTTACAGGCACACTGTGAATTTACGTGCCAAGGTGAATTTGCAAGCTAAATGCAAACCAATTTTTTTTTCCCGTTGTACTTAGAAACTCAGTGATAAATATTCTTTAAAAGTGAAGTAGGAAGGGTTAATATTTGGAACATTAGAATTTTGTCACTTCTGTTTTGATGGAGTACAGTTTATAGTTGGTCTTCTTGGAATAATTACTACTTACTTGTATCACTCCAATTCTTAAATTGAATGTCAGGGTTTTTTCCTGTTATTTTTATTTCTAAAAGCAATCTGAACCAAATTTATAATGAAAGCAGTATAGTACATATTAAATATAAGCAGTAAAGATAACATCAGTTGACTTGTCAGCCCCATATTACATCCCTGGAAAGTTTCCCCCAACTTCCTTTCTGAAACTTTCTTCTCATATATATATATATATATACACACATACACACACACCAAACCACAGAATTTTGTGTTCTTTGATATTTCATAGTTAATGAATTTTTTCTTAAGGTGGTATTGCAAAAATCCAGGCCTGATTAACTTCAACTTACTTAGTGTTAAATTAACCCCCTTGAATTGCCTGAGTTAGTGGCTCCACTTTGGCATATGTGGGATGTAATGTTCTTGTTTCCATTGAGCAAAACACGGCTTGATTGTAATTGTGAGTATTTGTGGGCAAAAGCAGTAGTTAGCATGTATTTAAAGAAAGAGCTTGAAAAGAAAGAAAGCCTTTTTCCTATACTGGCACTGTTGCTCAGTGGGATTTTTCTGTATGCTTGCAGGTTTTGACTGAATTGGGTTTGACAATGTCAGGCTTTGGCAGCAGAAGTGACTCGAGTTTGTTAGCCCTGCTGCAGCAGTCTGTGGCGTGAATGTGAGAATGGTGCCAATCTTTGCTTAAGGCAGGGCTGCTGCTGAAGTTTTGAGCTATGGCATTAGTAATAGTATATCTCATTTCAAAGCACAATGAAACTGTTGCCTTTCAGCTTTTGTTGCTGTTACTTGTGTAGTGTTGAGGAGGAGGATGATGACAGACCTGTGGATGGAGGGGCAAAAAGCAAGCTAGAAAAAGATGCTGGGAGGAAATATGGGTTGAAAGAGAAGAAGAATCTGAGCTGGGGAATGTAGCTTGAAGAAAACTAGTGATTGGGTAGAAGTTGTAAGAATATGTTGAAGTGAGGGAGGAGTTGGAGGGAAAGAAAACTACCACAGAGGGGCCCAAGATTGAGAGATGAAGGGTAGGGGCATGGGTGAACAAGTTTGGGAAAGCAGATTAGGATTTTTAAAAAGGTCTAATTATGTTCTCATAAATTTGGATAGAAAGTGTCAGAGTGAGGTTTCATGTGCAGTTATAAACATTGGTCTCCCCTAAAGCTCAATTATTTGACTTTGCATGCTGAATGTTACTTTGAGATGAGCTTACACAGCCTTGAGTTGTACCAAAGGCAGTACCAAAATGAGTGTGTTTTACAGAGATGGCTCCTGAGTTTAAAACTGACTGAGTTCTGGTTGTAATGTTAAAAGTGATTTCCTGAGTACTGACCAAATACTTCTTGCTGCTTCTTTTAGACGGGGCTTGAATCCTCCCCACAGAGTGAAGTCAATTTCCATGACTACTTTCACACAACAGGAAATAGAATTTCTGCAGAAACATGGAAATGAAGTAAGTATTATTTGGAGAATATCAAGTGGTTTTGGAACTTTAATATTAAACTTTAAAACACTACTTAAGGAAAACTTGATTTTCTTTTTTGTAGCAAAAAGTGGACAGAAGTCTTTTGAACCTAACCTCTTTTGAAGCTTCTGAAGAGCTCATTCCACTTAGGTAGCTGGTGATCATAATGTTAAGTGTTACTGTCCAGCCCAGACAATCTAGATGCACGTGATCAGTATTTCTGAATTGGGTTTTCCATTGCTTTTGCGTAAGACACTATGCATCCGTGTTTTGGTTTTTTTCCCTGCAAGCATGGACCTTGAGACTGACAAAAGTAAACTTGTTGCTTGTAGCTGTATTTCTTCAGAGTAGGTGTCAGAAAGCCTTCTACTAGTTTCAATAGCCTCTTTTTTTAATGATAGTATATCAATGTTGAAGGCTCTTGAAGAGAGGAAGGAAAGGGAGAATTTTTTTCCTCCAAGGATTGTTATCTAATAAATGTCAATATCTTTAGAGTGACTTGGGGCAGCTTTGAAGACAAAAAGTTCTAGTGTACTGCCTTTTTGTTCTTTTTAATACATGAAAACTAAATCTGAGGTAAATGTTGGGTTTGCTTTATGGGGATATGAGGCATATAAACCCTGGATATGGCTATTGCTGTCTTTAGTTTGAGGATGAAGTTTGTATTTTAATACCATACTGTAACATTGAGGATTTTAGAGGCAGCCCTTGCTTCTGTTCAGAATTGGAAAAAGCTCTATTTTACTTTGATTGGATCTGTGTTCTGTTTTAGTAGGACACCTGACTGTAGGCTACAGAGTATCTTATCACCATGTTCTGGTGAAGCTTTGTGGGGATAAATCCCATCATTCACTAAAATGCTGATACTTAACTTTCTAAACTTGGCCCATTCATAACTGTCAGGTTGAAGAACGAAAACAGAAGTAGCAATTTCTTTTTCTGTCCTCATAAATATGCATTACTTGTTGAAGTGATTGTTAGTGGATGATTCCTCTAGACAGAGCTGCAACAGGGTCTAAACCTTCCAGACATTATAAAAAAACCTGTTAATGGCTTTGACTAATTGGTTTTTTAAATTGTTTTGGCATGGTAAAGCTGTATCACATTGCACATATATGTATGCACATGTGTGTATGTATGTATAGCACATTGCTGACTTTTTGCATAGGGAGACTAATAAAAACACTTTTATGGGTCCAGATATAGTGTGTTGAAATTTCTTTCCGTAAGATGAAATTGTAAACTCCACCTTTTGCTTTAAGCTTCAGAAGTATAAATGAAAACGTGTGTGTACCTCCCTTCCCTGCTCCCCCCCGCCGCCCCCCGCATCCGTTTTAATTTCAGTTTTTCACTGAATCTGCAAGGGCTAGAGAATGCTACCAGCTTCATTTTTTCACTGCTCTGGACCATTAAGTGATCTCTACTCAGTTGATTAGCATAGTTGTCCTTCTCATTATAGACTGGCCTAGTCTGCCAGTCGTAGTGATTTAGTTGATAGATAATTTGTTATTGATGTAAAAAAGTTCCCAGATCTCTGCAATGCTATGCTAAGTTTCAGAAGCAGGGGTCTTAGTGTGAGACTTATCCCTCTAATTAAAGTACTGCAATGATTTAAATGAGCTAGCTCATAAATGAAGATGACCTGAGTTTAGTTTTGTGTTGTTGGATAGCAGTGCATTGCCTTAATTCTAAAGTAACACTGAGTAGATATTTGTAATTGCAGATGGTAGATTTAACAGGTGCTTAAATACTGAACAGAAGTGATACTGTTTTAAACACTGTTGGAAGTTTAAAACCTAATTAAACATGTTTTCACTTTGTCATGCTGTATGTTGCAGTAGTTAAATAAGCATTTTGCTTTCTCTTGTTGGTACTGGACTTTGGAATGCTCACCTGCAGATAAGATAAAGTATTGGGCAGATGAAGTTCATCTGACCTCACAAAAAACCCTTCTTTGCTTAGCTTGCTGTTCAGCATAGGTGGCTCTTGTGTATATATTAAGAAATGAAATTTTGTAGGATAAAATTGTTTGAACACGGAACTGTCCAACATTTTTGAATGCAGACATGTGAAACAAAGTACGGTCACTGAATGGTTTAGATGTTGTAATATTCAGTTGTTAGTTCCGCAGCTATATATATATAGAAAAAGCTGAACTTTTTGCAATCTAGTATGTTTAACTTCCATTTTTCTGTAGCTTGTAAAATTCTTTCATTACCACTTTGTCCTCCCAGTTTTTCTCCAACGTGGCCAAGGCCTCTGTGGTAAGCTCTGTTCCTTCCAGATGAGTGTATCATGGGGTACAATGGGGAATTCTTTCTGAGTCAAAAGGAAAATAGCAAGAAATCTTCCCTGAGATAAGGTAGTTAAGGTGGTGAGCTGTTCTTGGAGGACATTATTTTTGACTGTCCTTCAAAGAGTATAAGTTCAATGTATTGTATGAGGTTGAAGTTATCTGAAAAAAAAATAAAGATTCCTAATATCAGAAGTAATAACTTTCCCCAGTAGTTGCCAATTGCTGTCTTTGGCACACATGGGTAAAACATTCAGTTACTAAAAGAGTTCCACTGCTTTGGGAAGAGATTATTTAGAGCAGCTTCTCTTCAGATGTGAGACACTGTCTTCTTCCCTGTATGTACACCTCCAAGGAATGTCTTTCTGGCACAGGTAACTTGAACTTTTTTGGCATGAATTTTTACTGCTTCAAATACAGATTTAAATATTTTTACTGTGTTAGAAGATATCTGTATTTTGATGTTGCTTACTTATTTGCAGGTATAAACAGATGTCCAGAGTCTGGTTTTGCTAGTGTTGGGGTTAGCTCACTTTTGCAGCATGAATGGAGACATCTTCTAGCTGATACTCAAGTGCTTTCTGAAGTTGTTGTGAAGCATAAAGGCAATTCTGACTTGCTGGGTAGGTTTTTTTTTCCCCCTCCTCATTCTCTTCATGAAGAGCAGTGTGAGGTATTTTCACACCGTATTTTCGTGTTAGGAATAATGAGGAGAGTGGCATGGAGATGGTTCTGTTTGAATACTTATAATCAAATTATGCTAATGTTGATTAGGCCTCTGATTCAGTAGTGCAATGGTAGTAGAAAGTGAACTCGCTGTTTGCAGAGTGTGGAGGTGGTACTGATCTCATGTTGCCATTATAGCTGTGAATATTTGTTCAGAAGCTTTCCCCTGAAGCTGAAAAATAGTATTATGAGGCAATCCAGTCACATAGTTTTTTTTCTACTACACTTTTGAAAAGTGCCAAGTATTTTATAAACTTTCCAAATAGCCTATTCTAATATGCATATGGTGGAAGAAAATTATTTGGATGGTTTTGTATTTGGAAACCTCTGGGGGGCAAAGACCACTTGAGCTAATGAGTGGAATGCTATGTGGGCGTGCTCGGCTGCTTGGGATTAGTTTAACAGTGCTCCATTTTGTCTTGGTACCCGTCTTCCTGATGCTTGATAGCACCTGTGCAAGTACCAGTTTCCCACTCTCTTGCAGAACTAGTAGCAGTGTGGGGCTGGTTCAGAGCTGGTGTTTGGCCTGACCAAAATTCTTTCCTCGAATCAACTTTACTGTGGAATGTGGCCTAGAAACCCTGGAGTGGAAAGAGCAGTGCTAAGCTGGAGCTGATGAGTCCTGACAGCATGAGCTGTGCAGTCAGGTGTCCTTGTAGTACATCCCTGGTTCTGCTAATACGATATAGAGATACATGAGCTGATTGTGTATAGAACAATGTCTTTGTTAGCAGGATTTATTAGCTTGGACTCTGTGCTTATGAAAGCAGCTATAGCTGCTGGACCCCGACTGGCTGTTAAATCAGTATACTGGTGGTAGAAAATTCTTTTAACCTACAGAGATTAATGAATAATATTGACATCAGAAGTGCTGAATTATTAAACAAAGCTATAACTTGCTTACATAAGGGAACTGTTTCCAAATCTTTCTTCCTGTGGTGAGTGTTATGTTTTGGAACATAGTTTTGTTGTGTGGTAATCTGTAGTTCTTTGCACTGTCAGCATTGCATTTGGTGCATAACTGAGGATATTTTATTGGGGGGGGAGGGTGAGAAGAAGAAATCTGATTTGGTGTTTACCAGACTCCTAAAAGGTCATATCTCATTAGAGCTTTTTAAACTAGACTGACGTGTAATCTTCCTATGCAATGGTATGTTTGGGACTAAACAAGTAGTGCTGTAGGTCCAGTAGTGTGCTTTTTCCTAGTTGAAGAGCAGCATCTACCAGCAGAAGTACTTGTCCTATTACAGCTTTTCCTTGCCATGCTGCCTTTACTGCATAGAAGGTGGCTTCATGAGCAAAAACTTAAAAATTCAGTCAGACCAGCAAAATTATTGTTCCTAACTAGCACAATTATGCTAACAGGAGTTTCTAAATTTTGGTGGCTCAATATGTTGTGTAAGCAGAAGGCCTTTGTCTCTCCCATATCCGCCTTCCCCCACACACTGGAGATCTGTATCAGTGAAATAGTTATGACATGGTAAAGCATTGTTGGTAGTTGAAATATGTAGCACTGGAATAGAAGTAACTGAATTCTGAGATTCTCAGGCTTTCTGCAAAATTTGATGAATACTTCTGATTTTTTTTCTTTGTTAGAAGTTTTTTCGTGTGCATGTCCTTCCCTACCCTCCCAACTGTGTAAAAGCACACACAAAAACCCCCCAAGTGTTACAAACCTAGAAGCAAAACCAAAAGCTAAACATTTGTGAAAACCAGATACGTTTATCTTCTTAGCCTTTGAGCCCTGCCTGGAACTCCTGAAAGTGTGAAATGTTTCTGGGAGGCTGAGTTTTTAAACCAGAAGCCTTTCTGGTCAGCTTTATTTTGTGGAGTACCAGATGTGCAATGAATGGGATGAGTTCTTTGTTTCTTTCTGTCAAAACTGAAAATGGGGGTAGTTACTTAAAGTGTAGGACTCCAAATGTAAATAGTGTATGGAAAAGAAGATAGGTAAATGCAGTTATTCTAG